TCGGCCGCCCAGCCCCATGGCCGAGCTCATCGCCGCGAACCTCGCTAGCTCCTGCGGCGATAACGGCCCTCCGGCAACCCCTCTGCCGCCCACGCCCAGAAAATCCCTCGTCAGGCCAAGACCCACCTGCACGCCAGGTGCTCGACCAATTGCCCCACCGAAAAAACCGTCCACAGAAGGCCCGAAAACCCGGTTCAACTCACTCCCGGCCGAGGAAGAAGTCGAACTCGCAAGCCCGACCATGTTCCCGACGAAGCCCGGCCCACTCTTAATGGACCCCATTTGGGCCGCCTTCTGGAGGAGTGCCGTGGCTGACATTGTCACCGGAGATTGCGGCTGATGGTTGTGGTTTTTGCCGTTTTCCGAGCTATAAAGCCCAGCTGCTAAAGTGGGCTCTTCTTTCATGGCTTGCATTGGAGTCAACGAGAGGTTCGAAAAGGTTCCGATCGATTGGGCTGGGCCTAAATGATTGTTCGGGCCGTCCATTTGAATATTCATGTCGTGGGCCGTGAAAAGATCGGGACTTTGGTCGATATTGGGATTGAGATGATGATTCGTTTGGTGGTTTAACCACAATGGGAAGCCTCCGATAAATCCTCCAATCAAATTATTATTATTACTATTACTATTGTTATTGTTGTTGATGCTGCTGTTGTTGTTGATTACGAGATCGTGATTTCCGAAGTTCAAACCGTTGGCCATCGCTAATCTCGCGCTTTCATCGGCTAAGGCATCGCAAAAGGCTCGGTGCGTGATGAAACTATCCTTTCTACACAAATCGAAATTCCGGAAAAAAAAATGGAATAGAATGAATTTCGTGACATGTGAGAATTAAAAAACAATGTATGCAATGCAATGCATGATGATGAATGAAACCCACATACATGCTCCTACTAATGACCTAATCATATTTGGAAAGAGGGAGACACACAACAACATTAACTAAACCCTATTTGGCTATTTCCCAAATTAACACTCATTTAGCTTCACCAACATCATAAAAATTCTTGCAAACCTCGAAAAAAGTGTGCCGCAATCGCATTTATACTCCCTCGACCCACAAGTCTTGGAGTGCGCCTTCCAATCGGACCTAACCGCGTACTTTTTCGAACACTTGTCGCACTTCCACTTCTTCTCTCCGTGTTTTCTGCTAAAGTGTTTCTTGATGCCCGTGAGGTCGCCAAGTGCTCGGGAAGGGTCATGGTGGATGCACGTTTTCTCAGGGCAAACGTAAACCTTTTTCTTTACAATGTCTTTGTTGGCCCTCTGCTTGAGCTTCCATGGCAAGTTGTGGCCTCGCCTGTGGAGCTGCAGGTTTTGGTCTCTTTGGAAACCCTTGTTGCAGATTTCGCACACGAATCGATTTGTGGCCATCAGAGTTCTGGGAGAGAGTGAGACGACTTCTGCATCTGGATCTTGAAATTCAAATAAAAGTTGGAAAAAAAACGACAATTAGCTGTGGATCATTAATTATAGAAAATAACTGTTAGCTAATCGAATCGCGAACATGAACCAGTGGACATATTTTTGCAATTAGTTATTGGGTAGTTTTACTTTTTATTATGAATTTTGCATATTTTAGGTATATTATGCTGGATTTTTATTAGTTAGTGAAGGTTTTCTGCAATCGCAAAATTTACTCCAACAAATTTGGCCATCCTCTAGGGCAGCAGATAATTACTTGGCATTAGTTCACAATTTTACACAAAAAAGAAATGATCAAAGATTTAATTTCAAGATTGGATTTTTTTTTCTCTCTCTCTCTTGGAGAGTGTGGTTTTGAAGTTTGAACATGATTATGGATTGATTTTAGCTAAATTAGTGTTACCTGGTGTACCTGGTAGATTTCTTCTCTTCTTGTTCTTGTTCGGGTTCAGGTTCGGGTTCGGGTTCGGATTAGGTTTGGAGTTAGGGTTTGTTTCCAGCACTTGGTGAGGAAGAATTTTGGGTGCTTGAGGATTGGGAAAGGAAGAAGAAAGATCACCAGACATCATGTTTTTCAGCAGGAAAAAAAGTGGTATTTAATAATAAGGTGCAGATAAAAACTAGATTTGAGCTTTTCTTGGTGTATTTTTAACACAACAAAAGAAAAGAGGAGAAAGAGAACAAAAGCTTTTTTGGAAGCTATATAGAGAGAGAGATTTTCTCCAAATTCAAATAGATGAAAAACTTTGGTGTTAATTAAACCCAAAACCCACAAGAAATATGTAAGCAAAANNNNAAAGGTTGAGTTTTTGAATCCTTAAAAAAAACAAGAAAAACAGATTATTATGACTCTTATGAAACTAAACTAAAACTCAGAATCTTTCAGAGAGAGAGAGAGGTCATCTTTAGTGGATGCTTTTTGTTTGATTTTCAAAGAAAAACACCAAAAAGGAAAGTATAAATTTTTCCTCTCTATATCTCTCTTTCCTTCTCTCTCTAGCAAATGAGCATAAAACTTCAAAATCTCCTTCAAATTATTATCTCTTTAGTTTCAAAGTCGGAATTGATTTAGCAGGTGGGGCCCACACACTCCTCTCTCTCTCTCTCTAGCTCTATGTGTCTTCTCTCACTTTCTCTCTCTCTATAGATATAAACTTGTTATTGTATGTATTTTCGGTACGTATGCATTTGCCGTATGCTGCTTGTAACCAGAATTTGTAGAGCTTTGTGTCAAAACGTAGTTTTTCGAGCTAATTAATATCCCAATTATCAACATTCATTATTTTTTTAATTCATTATTAAGTTGATAAGTATATATGTTATACAATTTTTTAATCCAAAAACTTGTAAATTTACATTAGATAGAACAGCTCTTCATATCTTTTTAACAAACTTGTAAATTTATATTGAGAAATATTATTTAAAGTATGTCACTCGTATATGAATTATTCATTACAAAAATATAATGATCTAATGATTAAGTCTATCTAACAACAACTCTATATAGTCAATTCTACTGGAAATCAGAGACGAATTTGAAATGAAAACTAATGCATAGTATTATATATATATTGTTATTATGATTTCAAAACAAGGCAAAAATGGAAGAAAAAAAAAAAGCTAAATGAAAATTAAAAGCTTATTATAATAACGCTTTGAGACACATTAATATGTGGACTAAATTTTACTTGTGACATCAAAACTTAATCAATATCAGTGACAAGAAAACAAATAGTTTAATAAAATCAATAATATTTTTCTACTTTTTACTTATTTTTATTCCCTACTTTTGAATTTAGATGAATTCATCATCCCAAAAGCGAGTTAAAAAAGGTCCACACTGCATGTAAAAAAACTAAAAAGTGAGTATTAGCCCGTGCGCATCTGCTGTAAAAATCATTACACCATTATTAAAAAGTTTGACTACTTTCTCTACATAAATTATTTTAAATTATATAGTAAAAATTACTAAACCATAGGGGTAGAAAAATTAAATTGATAAATAAAAGTTGCAGCTATATCTATTTTTCGAAATTCGAGACGGGGCCTTTGGCCACCCGTGACACTCACACTTGTGTCGTAGTGAAGCTGACTTTGTGGGACCCACACTTCTCTCTCGCACAAAATGTGTGTATTAGTATGTGAGAGAGAAGGAGATACAAGAGTATATGTGTATATATACACGGTGCCCGCACGTAATTTTGGTTACAATTGTATTAGTATTTGATCATGTGCATTTGTGTAGATATAAAATACGTTTTTGTTTGTATTTATTAATTAGATATGTACTTCATATCATGTAAAAATTATTATTTTTTTTTTAAGTTATTTTTATCATTCAAAATTAATTGAGATTTAAATTTTATTTTAACCATGCAACGTTTACATTAGTAACATGAATAAAATAATTTATATATTTTTGGCATATATTAAGAAAATTAACATAAATAAAACAAGTTATTGGTGTTTTTGAATTTTTTTTTTTTTTAAAAAAAATATGTGTCAATCGTATTTTTCTTCCAATAATGCAACCAAATATAGCGGTTACAGCTCTGAATGTACTAATCAACTTTAAGTTTCAACATTAGCCGTTACACATTTGAATATTTTGCTACCAAATTTTGAATTAATTTAGTAACTGATCCAAAAAATAAATAATAAAAATATAAATATTAAGGTGTAACGGTTTTAGCAGATTAGTGAGTAATTAATTAAAAAAAATGTAACTCCTTTTGGAGGGAAATGAAAATAGGTTTTATTAAATTCATCAGCTAGTAATTATATACATATAGATATAGATAACAACTTATATAGTTAAGATCTACTTGTTAAAACTCGTTAGACTTGAGAAATATGAGTTTAATGCTATTTGTTGAACTATTATATTTGTTCGACTTGTTAATGTTTATAAATGTGTTGAATTCGAGTTTGTTTATCAGTTATATTAGGTAACTAGTTGAACTTTACTCGGCTTGATAGACGTGCAAATTTGGACTCAGCTAGGCTCGACTCGTTTATAACTTTATTTAAATGCGAACAACAATTATATATACATAGATTTTTAAATTAACGTCAATAGATAAAAAAAAAAATAGCAAATAAAATTATTAATTATAATAAGGATAATTATTTTTAGAAAATGGAATAAGAGAAAAAGCATGCTTATGGACTTTTAGTGGAGATAAAATTTGAATACAGAGAAGAAGCATAGTACAAAAGAATGGATGACTAAAATTTTTGTTTAAGTGTAAAATATTTTGAGGGGAAAATACTAATTTATATTTGATAAATTATATTTTCTTCATATATACATATATCTAATTCTCCTTATGACTGTGCCATATTAAAATCTAAAAAGAAAATATTGATTTTTAAATTTGATTTAAGGATGCTATTTAAGCTTGACAGGTGACTGTTACATATTTTAATGCAACCTAATATACTACTAATACTTTAAAATTATTTTTTATTGTCCCAATACTTTTACCTCCCAATTTTTACCTTCCAATGATGCATGTGAAGAAATCCAAATAAATAAATTGTTTTGGATCAAATTACAGAATCTCTTAAGTCAAAGTACAAATGAAAAGTAACTATTATAGTAACTATTTTTCACATACGGGTCGGATTATACGTACAAAGGCATGATAGTAACTATTTTAAAAAAAAAAATTATTGTGTTTAATTATTATACAAGATGATGTTTCAACGGTAATTTAAATGAAATGCTACACATTTTTTTTTCCATGTTTTCTATTTATGTGTTGACCGATGCGGCGATGCCCATGCACCTATAAAATAAATCTATATATAATTTGCGGTATATCTTTTGATATTCATTCCTAATAAGAGAATTAAATATAAAGTATTGTTTAATGAAGTATACAGATGAATAATGTGTGATTAATTCAATAACTGCTTTTGGCTCCATTCAATTGGATCCTACTGCGAAAAGAATTATTCCGTCTTACCGTCTTACCTACTCCATCAGCTTATCCGGACCACAAACAAATTCTCAGCCAGCTAATTGGGATTTTCTTTAAAAAAAAAAAAAAAATGAGTACTAGTCAATTTTTTATGTTATTGTTCACGCAAAATTTTTAGTAAACGAGTCGAGTTGAACTTGAAATTTTGATACTCGAGCTTGGATCTGCCTTTTAAGTTAAACGATCCCAATTTTAATTTATTTATCAATATTAATAAATCGAACATGAGCCTTAACGAGTTGAACTCAGTTAAAAACTCAAAATATTTACACAAAAATCTCTATGCTCGAGCCTTAACGGATCAAGTGAAGTCACGAGTGACTTGTTAAGCCTCAAATGGGGCCTACTATTTGTAGATATTAAGAAAATAATTTAATTAACTAGTTTAATATTGAATCATGCACATGCATACGTGGGGTAACATGGGACCTAGAAATTGGCCTACAAAATATAAATCCAAAATTATTATTTTAATTATATGTTATGGGATGGTATATAGATTAAATTGCCCGACCACGATAAAGTAATAACTAGAAGCTATCATTTATCACTTATTTATGCAGTAAGTATATGTTAATTAAGACCTATTCATATTATAGTTTCTATTGATTAATATGAGAATATTGGATTTAAAAATGCCATTGGCAACCCTTAAAATGCGCTTGAAGTGTTGCACTTTCAAGAACCCTATAGAAATTAGTATTAAATTCGATCCTATTACCAAGAATTTGGGTCTATTATCAAAGCCCATGTCTCTCTTTATATATGGATGCCCGTAATTTTGGATTTTATTATTAAAAAAAAAAATGGAGAAGAAGACTAATAAAAGTATTGTTCTAAAATAATTATTCACTACTTCTCGTTAGAGCCACATTTTTCAGGTAAATCACACTTTTGAAGACACAAGTCATGTTGATATTCTTAAGAATGTCGTACGGTCAACTATAGAATCGAAAAAACAAAATTGTGGAATTTTCAATGTAATTACACCACAACAAACGTCAAAACCAACCGTAGTTGAAACGAAAATTTGATGCACTTAAAAAACCAAACCGATTTGAATCGAATTGCATGGTTCTATTCATTTTTTTTTTCTTTTTTTTTTTGGCAT